AAAAAAGAAAGAAAGGAAGGAAGGAAGGAAGGAAGGAAGGAAGGAAGGAAGGAAGGAAGGAAGGAAGGAAGGAAGGAAGGAAGGAAGGGAGAAAAAGAAAGGAAACCTGCTTGGAGTCAGGGTTCTAGTTTGTACTGTTGAAGTCTTTGGTGAGGGGCCTTCCCCGTTGTGGCCACAGGTCCCCTGGTGGGATCCAGACCTTGGATCTCTGCTCAGGCTAAACCTTATTCCCTTTCCTCCCTCTCAGGGGTGACTCATCATCTCATCATCGTTCTGTGTGGCCTGATGCTCAGCCAGGGTGCGGCCAGTGAGGCAAAGAGGATCACTCAGTGGAAACCCAGGCCCAGCTGGCAGAGGTCGGAGGTGGAGGAGGCAGCAGAGTACCAGTGGGCAGTGGGCAGCAGTGTGTGGTCTTGGGGGCCCTGACAGTATTACAGCTGCCATTCACAGCCCAAACCAGGTTTTTGAAACTTTCAATTCCAAGTGCTAAGGTCAAGCTTAGATTCTCCCCACCCTCCAAGACCCAGATCCCACACCCCATGTCAGGGCTGAGGGGTGAGGTGCCTGGTTCTGCAGTCATGGAAGCAAGAAAGGTATGCACATCGCTCAGGTCTCAATCTGTGGACACACCCAAGGGCCAAGCCCGGGGTAGCCAGGCAGCAGCGAGAGCAAAACCATTGCCTGAGGGGTCCGGGTACTGATCCTGGTTCCCAGCAGCTTCTTGAGCCTTCCTGAAATCATCCTTTCTCTCTGACAGAGTACAGTACTTCTGTGCTGGTCACTGCAGGCTTGGGACCCTGGTGCTCACCACTCTGCCACTCTGGCAGGCCACCTCACACCAAGCCTCCTCGCCTGGGGCTCAGTCACCTCTCAGTCAAAGTCTGGGCACTAGTATGGCTCTGCTGTGCCTTCCTGGCTGCTCCTGCAGCAGATGGCCCCTGGCTGCATGGGTGGCCTGGATGAGGCCAGTGAGAGCAGAAAGCAGATAGACATCACAGGCCGTGGGATCTGTTAGCCTTCCCTGGACGCCCCGTTCCCTCCTTGATCAATGTTGAGCTCACAGCAAAAGTTTGTTTCAAGCCCCAGGCCCAGACTGACCAGCAGGAGGCTTCAAGTTCCCTCCTTGCTCTGAGCCTGTTTCCTCACTATTGGATGTGGATAAGGAGCACCCCCATTTCCTCCCTGGGCCGTGCGTAATTCATCTTGTCTCCATCTCGCCAATGCACCATCATTCTCTCTCCTCTGTGAGGCAGCTCTTATCTGGGTCTCACCACCTGACTCAGTTTCCCTCTGTGAAATACAAATCGTATCGACCTCACCACCCTACTCCAAAGAATAATGATCTAATAATCCCTGCTGTGCCCATGACCAGAGTCCAGCACAGGTCCCTCCGTACTTCAACTCTTGTGACGACCCTCTTACAGGTGAGGGGATTGAGGCGCCGCAAGGAAGCCACGTAAACACGGCATACAGTCGGTACTCTAGCTCCTGAGCGTACATCTGTGAACGCCACACTGTGCGCAGATGTGTGAACTCGGTGCCTGGCACACAGTAGGTGCACAGTCAATGCAGTCATTTGTGATCTCACACGAATTAGTGCACGTGCAGAGGGAAGGAGGCTGCCTCCAACCTGTATGTTTATTTACAAGACACAAGCTGAGAGCAGGTTGGGGACTGCCCGGTGGCTTCATACTCCTCGTCGTGGGCCAGTTCATCCTGTCATCTGAGGTTGTCAACGCCCCTGGGACGGGCACAGAGTAGCTGGGCTGGACTTGGGGGTAGTCTCATGTCTCCCAGGCCTCTCTCCATCACCACCACCACCACCACCACCACCACTCCAGGCCCGGGCTGGCTTTCTCTCGGAGTTCCTGTGTGTTGGTGGTCACAAAATCAGTGGGTGGGGGCCAGGAGGCCAGATGATCTGTTGGGAGTGTGAGGCAGGGCATGGACGTCCTCTCACACAAAGCCTGCTCTGTCTCCCCTAGCAGCGGGACTGCATTCTTACCCTTCTAGAAGCTTCCCATCCACCACCACAGCGGCCCACCTGCTGGACCCCCAGCCATCCCACTCCAGGCAAGGGTGCCCCCGGCGGGGCAAAGCAATACAGGGCAGCGGTTCAAAGGAGGGACTAGGGCATGGCCTGGACGTCCTTGGAGTCTGGGTGGGGCTGATGGGCCACAGCCCTGTCTGAGGAGGTGGTAGCAAGATGGATTCCAGGCCACACACTCCATGCTCGCATAGGAGACGTGGTATCAAATAAAGGCCCGGGGAGCCCCAAGCCTCCCAGCCTGGTGCAGCTTTGCTCTGACCAGCCTCCCCTAGAGATCTGGCTCTCTCTGGCCTTCTGAGCTGTGTGGCTTCAGCCTTGACCACTGTGCAGCCGCGTCCAGGCTTAACTGCTCCTGGGGCTCAGACCCCCAGAGCCATCAACGCTCCCGAGCTACTGATCTTCTTGAAGCGATTGGCAGCACTGACAGCGATGAAGTTTCTCTGGGGGACAAGAGAGGAATTCTGGTCAGCACTTCAGCAGAGGAGAACCTCGGGAAGGAGTGGCCGGAGAGAGAGAGAGCTTAACAGATAAGGAAAGGCACTGGCAGCCAAGCCTGAGTTCAGTTCCTGGGAGGCACATGGTAGAAGGAGAGAACTCACTCCCAAAGTCACTCCCAAAGGCATCCTCTGACCTCCACACATAGGCCTCCACACGAGTGTGACCCCTGAACCTTCCATTATACGCGCACAATAAATAAATGTTAAATAAAAAACTTCAAAGACTTTTAAAAGATTCTGCCCTCATTAGAGGAGGGTCAGAGGCCAGGGGAGACACAGTGCCCAACCCAGCTATAAAAAGCGCCATAACACTGTTTGTCCAAGCAAAAGAGACTCCTCACCCCGATCTATGAGTCCCTCTACAGCACTGGTTCTCAACCTGTGAGTCTCCACCCCTTTGAGGGTCAGAAGACCCTTTCACAGGGTGGCCTAAGACCATCAGAAAACACGGATTTTGATATTATGATTTGTAACGGTAGCAAAATTACAGTAATGAAGTAGCAATAGCTACTATAATTTTGATGGTTGGGGTCACCACAACGTGAGGAACTGTATTGCAGGGTCACAGCATTGCTACTGCTCCACAGCCTGTTCCCCTCTGACCTCCCTTTGCATCCCAGCCCATCAGCCTGCGGCCTGCTGCTCACACTCACGGGTCTGCCTCGGGTGTCACATGGGCTGCTCCTCTGCCTGGCTCCCTCCCCCATCTCCTTGAGGTCTGGATGCACCTGCTCCTGCTCCCTGGCCCCTCCCTGTTCAAAGGTGTAACCCCACCCCTGGCGCTCCCAACCCCTCTCCTAAGAACTCCCTGTAGACACTGGAAGTCAAGTCCACAAGACCCAGATCCCGCCCCCCCCCCACGTCTCCACCACAGCAGCGGAGCACTTGGAAGTAACAGCTATGGCTATTCCATAAATATCTGGGAAATGGAGGAGGAGAGGGGTCAGAGATGCTCTCCGGAGCCTGGACCCCTCGATTAACGATCCTCCCTTGGCAGGCAGGGTGGGTGAACAACTCCAGCTCAGAATGGGAGCTAGCCCAGATAAGGAGAAAAGCCCGTATCTTCCAGACACGGCCAGGCCCTGTCAACAGAGACTGCCCAGCGGACAGGGCTCTCCCACCTCTCGGCCCTCCTCCTCCTCCTCCTCCTCCTCCTCCTCCTCCTCCTCCTCCTCCTCCTGCCCCGGCTCTGGTACCTTCCAGCGCCTCTTCATGAGGTATTTCTTGAGCAGGATCTGGGACTTCAGGCGGCGGTTGCAGCGTTTGGCTTTCTCCGCCAGGTTGTTGAGCCAGGGGTGGGCGAGACATTGCTCTGCACTCATCCGGGCGCTGTGGAGAAGACAGCGTGGTGAGGAGCGGCCTGTGCCAGGCCCACTCGGCCCAGACATGTGCTCTGCCCTCGAGCGTACAGGGTTCCCAGCCCAGGTAAGCTTTACCTCTGGTCCTTCGTGATGAGATTGGAAACGAAATCTTTGGCCTCATCCGACACAGCCTCAAAGGTCTCCTCATCAAAGTACCAGTTGGCAGACAGGACATTGTTCAGGGTCTCTGTGTCATCATCTCCCAGGAAGGGGGAGAGACCACTCAGTCTAGAGGGGAGGAGAGTCGGGCAAAACAGTGAGGCAGCAGGGTGGAGCAGGGCCTGGGAGGCAGCATGTGCTGGAAAGACCCCGGGCTCCCAGAGTGGGACAGACCTGGCTTTGAATCTGGCTGGGTGACTTTGGGCAAGTCACTTCCCCTCTCTGAGCCTCACTCTTCTCATCTGTAAAATGGGCATAATCACCCCAGCTTCCCGGGGTTGCAGTGGAGACGAGGAAGGGTGAGTGTGAAACACACAGTGAACACACACAAGAAGATGTCCACTGTCCCTCTGTCCCCAACCCCAGGGCATGGGGAATCTGCTGTCCAGAGTCTGCCCCCAGATGGGATGCTGTGCTTTTAGGGGACCTTGGTTTTTACAAATATAAAATGGGTACAAAGTTTCCCTTTCTGATTCTCCTTAGCATTCCCCCTCCCCCCTCAAAAAAAAAAAGTTGGCTGAGGGATCAGGGAGGTAAGACAACCTCACCGGAACCCCCAAGGCCAGTCTCGTCCTCTTCTACCCACCCCTGTGCCCCTGCCGACTCCAGCCAGCACCTCCCCCGGGGCTCACAGCATGTAGGTGATCACCCCCAGGCTCCACATGTCAGTCTTGTCAGAGATCTGGTCATAGTTCACCACCTCGGGTGACAGGAACTCCGGGGTCCCAAAATTCACCTTCAGCTTTTCGTTGGGGTTATACCTGGGAGAGAGACTGAGAGCTCAGGTCCCCAGCTGCCACCAGCAACATCCAGTCCCTTCAACTCTTCTAGGCCCCACCCTCCCAGCCAGCCAGCTGGTACCTCCGTGCCAGGCCGAAGTCAATTATCTTCACCAAGTGGCCAGTGGTATTCACACACAGGATGTTCTCTGGCTGAGGAGACAGGGATGGCCCAGGTTGGTCTCTGACCCAGCTCACCCTCCTTTCCCCCACAGGCTCCACCCGGGTCCCTTGCTGGGGCCCCACGTGTAGGAATAAATCCTTAGGTGATACTCAGAGATCCACTGGGCCTGCCTGCTTTCAGCCTAAGCAGGCTGAGGTCCTGTAAGGGGCTTGTCTCAAAGCACAAGACTACCCAGGAGGCACAGATGGGATTTCTCTCCGCCGTCCTGTGGAGGGTGGAGAAACGGAGGTCTGCAGATAGGCAGTGTGCCCTGGCTGGAGGCCAGGCAAGGATGTTATCAGAGCTAGAAGCCTTGTAGGGCCGCAAAGGGGCCCCTGGTCAGCGAGGTTTCTCCTGCTCTCAGCTGGACGGTGCCCGCCTCTCGCAAACATTAGGCCTACGGTACTTTATTACTTTTTATGTATGTATTTTGTGTGTTGTGCTGATGATGTGTGCACGTGTGGAGACGGAGTGTGTGTCTTTCTCAATCATTCTCCACCCTGCTTTTTGAGGTAGAGTCTCTCACTGGACTTGGGGTTCACTGACTGGTGAAAATGGTTGGCCAACAGGTCCCCAGATCTTCCGGTCTCCGGCTCCCCACTGCTGGGATTACAGGCATGCACCGCTGCACCTGGCTTTTTTCACACGGTTGCTGGGCATCCAAACCCAAGTCCAAGTTCTTGTGCTTGCCACACAAACCCTTTACAGACTTAGCCACCTGCCCAACGCCTTATATTGATTTTTTGAGATGAAGGTCTCCCTAGGCTACCCCAGTCCGGCTCTGAATTCCCAGGTTTGAGCACTCCCTCAGCGCTTGAACCTAGCTTCGCCACCTTCCTCTTCCGTGTCCCAGGCCAGGGACCACCTTCTTCTCCCAGCCTCTCCCATGCTCCATCAGACTGGTGGAGAGCTGTGTTAGTCAAGGGGTGCATGCACTCACACCAGGCCTCGCTTTATCTTCTTACCACAGGGGGCACAGGGCTAGGTCAAGAGTAAGTGGGGTGAGCACTGAAGTGAACGGGGTTCAAAGACAGAAGCTACCACACAAACTCCACCACCTCTGCGGAGTAACAAGGGGTTCCACCTCTGTGGAGTGATGGGGTGCACCTTCCACACCTTCCCCTTCCAGGGTCTTCCTCACCCTGACCTCACCACTCAGCGTAACTCCGCTGTTGTTTGAGTTCTGTGGCCATTCAGTTTGAGGTTTCCTGGGGGCCTCTTTGAAATCACCGGGTTCCTGTAGAAGCAAGACCTGAGGACTTTTGTAATTTAGCTAGCGTCCCAAAGCAGGGGGAGAAAGAATGGCCCCGGGTACAAACCCACAAGGGACCCACAAACGGACCCAAGCTTTCTCAGAAACCTATTCCCACCAGACCTAGGGACGGCCTGCAGCCGAGACACACTGCTTTCTGACTATGAGCCCCTCTTCTGAGCAAACCCTTGTGGTTATCCTGGAAGCCACATTCTTGGAGACAGAGTCCTTTCTCCTGGGACCTTGTATTTTAATTAGGAGTCCTGCGCTACCCCCCCAAATCAGCCTTCGTGGGGGAATAACATGTCCCCCCATGTAGCTCTCCAGCTACCCTAGCTCCTAGAGGGCCCCCCATCTGTCCCTGCAATCACCTCTGACTCTTTGCCAACCCACTCCACACACACCCTCAGCCAGGTACCCCTACTTTTCAAAGTGCACCCCTCCAGCTCCCACCAGCTCTCTCCTAGCTTCCTACCCTAGCCTCCACACCCTACTCCACCTAGGCCCCACTGAACGCCATCTCCTCTCTCTCCTTCCCTGTGTGTCCTCATAGGTAACTGCAGGGGCTGCTGGGAGAATCCCACGCCCTCTCAGAACATGACACGGAGCAAAGCCAGAAGCTGTTGGATGCCCGCATCCATGGCCCTGCTCCACCAGACAAATGTTTGCTTCTCCACCTGCATGTCCTGGATACTCCGTTGTGCCTTTCATAACCTTTTTTATTAATTTTACTTATTTGGACACTGTATAATGAACAGGGAACATGTCCACCCTAGTCCCCATTGTAAGTTCCCACACTAGGATCGGTCTTTCCTGCAGGTACTCGGTAACTGTGAGTTAAGTGAATGAACGCAGGTACCACCCCTGTACTGATGGTGCCTATTCACTTTCTACTCAATATTCATTAGCATCTGCCACAGAGACAGGAGACACCTGGCAATTTGTGTTTCTCCTCCCCACTCCATGCCCCAGGCAGGTGTTTCTAAGCTCCCGGCAGCCACTGGTGCTGATGGGAGTGAGTACCGTGTAAAATCTGTTTGCTGTCTCTGGTCAGCTATGTGCAAGGGTGTGAAAGTCCTCTTGTAGAGTTCGTCACTAGTGCCTGCCTCCTGTGCACTGTGACAATGCCATGAGGCTTCTCAGTGAGCACCATGGAGGAGTCCCAGGACACTGGGCTGCTGTAAAGTGGCCCTCAGCACTAGGTTCTCGTTCTGAGTAAGGGCGGTACACTGGCGGTACCAGTCACAAGCCATTACAGAGGTAGCTGCTGTGAGAGACCAGCAGCTGGAATTCATCAAACACCAGACAGTGAGCTCCATGGACATTGAGACTAAGGCACGCCTCCCCCGACCCCATCCCTGCCTCCATCCCGAGTGCTTAACAAGCACTCGTGGTCCACCCTGAGTGAGCTGGAAGGAGGGATGGGGAAGGAGTAGGAGGAGCTAGAGAAATGAGTAGTGACCACAGCGACACCCAGTGGTCAGTGCTGTTCCAGCCCACTACCTTGAGGTCCAAGTGCAGGACTCTCATCTTGTGCATGAAGAGGATCCCATCGCAGATCTGCCTGACAAACACCATGGTATCCACCTCGGTCAGATGGTAGTCCTCATCCACGATCCTCTCAAAGAGCTCGCCGCCCTCGATGCTGTGTGCACAGACCCCTCTGCAGACCGGCTCCCGGCTGCTGGCCCTGCCGCCCAGCCCCAGCACCCACAGCGGGCACTCACTACTCCATGAACAGGATGATCTCATGTGAGGTCTCAATGGCCGAGTACAGCTGGATCAGATTGCGGTGGTTCAGTTGGTTCATGACCTCGATCTCCAACATCACCATTTCCTGGGAAGCAGGAAAATCAAGGGGACCCACTGGGCACCAACACGCCCACCCTCCAGCCTCCTCCCTCCTGGTCTCCTGGCCTCCACCACTCTCCCCCCCAGAACCTCACCCTGAGCCCCTGCATCAAATCCATAGCGATGTTGTATCCAGGTGTAATCAGTTCCCAAAGCCATGTGTGGTGGCACATGCTTGTAATCCCAGAATTCAGGAGGCAGAGGCAGGAGGGTCAAGAGTTCGAGACCAGCCTGGATCACACAGTAAGACCCTGTTCAACCCCCATCCCTAAGATGGGGTTGATTCTCAATTACATAACACTGCCTCCGACCACTGCTTCCATCTCTAGACTCTAATCTATCCAGCCGCCATCTTTGCCGTTTCCGTTGGGGATCTAAGAAAGCCCCAGATTCACCATGTGCTAAGTAAGTCCTTGATACCAACCCTTCTCCATGGGTGACTTGCCAGCAGCCTTCAGGGGGGGAAAAAAAGACAGAATCTTCACCCAAGCATTGAGGACAAAGAGCTTGGAGCTGTGGTCTCTGCATGCCCACTGACAGTCCATCATTAAGGCCTTGGGCACAGTACCACCTTAAACTAGATCAGAAACTCAGCCATCCCTCACCCCTTCCTTCTACTCTAAACAACCTTCACTTGTAACTTTCAGGCCAGTGGTCACACTGCTGGGCTGAGGTAGGCTATGGTAGAAACGAAACTGGCATGTGCTACTCATCAGGCCTCTCCAGGCACCTGCCTCTCCAGGGCAGTTGTTAACCTCGAGGCATCAGTGCAAGACTGTCCAGCTGCACCCCTTCCCCTTCATCCCACCCCTCCATGCCGCTCTCACTTCGCCGCCTACCACTGCATCTAACAGGGTCCCTCTGATCAAACTCCCCGTCACTGCCCTGCTTCTCTTTCTGTCTGGCACCTCTCGACACCTGGTGTCATGCTCTTCATTCTGTTCCAGCTTTTAGTCATCTATCTGTCCCTATTCTCTGAAGTGCTGGTCCCATGAGGTTGGGGACTTTTTCAGTCCTGTGACATTTCTCTGGCACCTGGTACAGTGGAAGGCAAAGGAAAAAAAAAAAAGCGTTCCGTGATCAAATTAACCAACAGCTGGCTCCAGTTAATTCACACAGCTCATGGACACTGAGTAGTCACGCTGAACCAGATCCTGTGATAGAAGCCAGTGAAGATCAGTCAGAAGTACAGGTCTGAGACTGGGGGCGTCGCTCCGTGGGTAGGCAGAGTGCCTGCCTAGCATGCATGAGTCCCTGGGTTTAATGCCCGGAACCGCGGAAACTGGACATAGTGACAAATTCCTGCAATCCCAACATTCAGAAAGTAGAAACAGTTCAGGGTCAGCCTCTGCTCCAAAGTGAGTTCAAGGTACTCTGGGATATATGAGCCCCCATCTCAAAGAAGTAAATACGTAAATAAAAGATCCACACACCAGAGCAGGGTAGGACCACACAGAAAACTTGTCCCTCCCAGCTGTGCTCGGAGCAAAGGGAATCAGTGCTCTGTGGCACTGTGGCGCTGCTCCCGTGGTCTTGGTGCGCCCCAGCCCTCCATACAGTGACTACTTTTGCCTACAACACCCTGGGACTTCAGCCCTTGCTCTCTCTGACCCCTGGCTCCCTCCTCCCTTCTTTTTTCCATCCCTTCTTCCATCTCTGTGATGCTAGAGCGAACCCAGAATGCCAGGAAATTGCCCATCTTGAGCCTCATTTCCACAGTCCTCTGCCTGAAACCCCCAAAGCCTCCCCTGCCACGCAAACACCTCCGTCTGCAAAACCTTCACTCTGCAGAAGCTGGCCCAGGAAGCGCCACTGAGCCAGGGCTGAGGCAGGAACCTGGCTGTTGCTCCCCACAGCTTCCCGAGACACCAGGCACATCTCACGTCGCCCACTGGCCCTCAATCCGTGTGACCCTGCACATAGTTGCTGTGAGCTGTGAGCGCAGCCCCCAATGGCTGTCAGCGCAGCCCCCACTGGCAGCGGGAAGCGCAGCTCTCCATTGACCCTCCTTTCCTTGACACAGGCTCCCTGGGGGCAGGGGCCACCTCCATTGCACTTTGGGATCCCCACTGTCTATCACGGGGATAACCACCTCTGCTCTGAGTGCTGCTGAGCTTTAGAGGGCCCAGAAGGGAGAGTCCCTGAGAAATGGGGTGTCTGGGTTATGGCTGTAGCAGGCTGTGCCCCCCCCCTTCTCCTTATGTGGCATCTTTAATGCCACAAGCTTTTCACATCACGGTCCTAGCCCAGCACTGTGGGTAGCTGGAGATAAGAGGTGGCCAATCCGAGAACATCTCCCACGGTAGGGCCAGCATTCCCCAGCTACCTTGTCCTTGGGAGTCTGCTTCTTGATGACCTTGGCTGCCAGCTTGAGGCCTGTGGCTTTCTCCGTGCAGGTACACACAGCTCCAAACTTACCACTGGAAAGAGACAAAGTTGGGGTGAGGGTACTTCCAAGACCCATGGGCCAGCAGGGACCTGTGCTCCGTTCTCCTCTTGGCCCAGGCCTGATGGTGACTCTGGCTACTCCTCTGAGCGGTGGGAGCATTCACCCCACCGGCCCTAACTCCCTCCTGAAGTGGAGGCTCTCCTACCAAGATGGTGGCTGAAGAGCATGGGGGGATGGAACAGACTACATTTCCCACGGGAGTGGCCAAAGGCACACCCAGGAAAGTGACCACAGTCGCTACGCCTCCGGAGGTGGTATGTGGTGTGACCACATAGGAGCAAGTGCATGCATGTGGGCCATGTCCTAGTGGACCATGGGAGCTGGCTACTCCCCAGTGCGTGGTTCCAGGCTTGGGTCCCTGTCTCACCCTCCCAGTGCCTCCTTTGAGTTCATGCTGAATTCACTGTTGACATTTCCAGTCCTCAGCTCCACGATCCTGTGTGGGAAGGGGGCCGGGGGTGGCGGGCAATCATCTAAGGAGACAGAGTTGAGCTGTTAGAACCAGGGGTGGGGACTTCTGGGAAACTCTGCCCCCACTGCCCCCGGAGAGTCGAGTTTACCAAGTGATGCCTGGGGGACACCCGGCCAGAACGGGACCCAGTTTCCAATTCTAGTTCTGCCGTGTACACCCAAAATGGCCTTTGTAGACCCAAAATCCGTCTCCTTTAGGGGGAATTCGGGTTCTCTGCAGAACGATGAGACAGCTAGCTGCCCGGACTTAGATACAAGCTCTAGCGGGGAGGGAGGGATGATTCCAATAAAAAACACCCAAACAAGCCCCCACAGCAGCTGTGAAGTGGAGTCCCAGACTGTGGGACTGCTGTGCCTGGATGATGATGGTGTGGGTGGAGACACTTGCTCGCCACCTGATTACACCACGGTGGGGCGCCCAGGGACGCCGCGGTTCGGTGGTGACGTGCCGCCACCTAGTGGGCATCCTGGGGACAGCGGGCTTCGAAGGCCAGCGGGCTGACTCATCGGAATGGAAACCTTTAAAAATAGTCAGAGCCGGCAGGGAAGCCACTCTGGTGATAAATCAGACAGCCCTTGGAGGTGGTTCAGGTCCTGTCATGCCAAGGATGTGATCTCTGGGCGGGGGCGGAGGTCTCTGTCACCGCGGGGGCAGGAGGCAGGGCCCCTGGCCACCGCCCAGCCGCCAGGTCCTCCCACCCTGTCTGGGTGGCACTCTGCCGCCAGCCAGGCAGACTGGCTGGTCTCCCGGGGCACCTCAGTCTGGAGGAGGGGGTGTCAGGACACTCTGAGCTCTCCTGACCCTGTGTCACCCCACCCCCCAGCCCAACAGCACCCCTGCTGGGACCCCTTCCCTCTTCAAAGTGACTCTCCTGCCGCCCAGGGCTTTCTCTGGGTCCCTGTGGAGTGCCGGCCCAGCTTCCCTGGCCACGGGTCCCACACACAAACACCTGTGCAGCTCGTGAAACCTAGGGCTCCCTGACACCCTGCCATCCACGGTTCCATTTCCAGTTTCCTAGGATTGGAACCTCTCCTCAGACAGAGCCCCACACCCACTTTTCAGCAAGTTTATGCGACTTTACTCATCTGTGTGATTTTCTTTTTAAATCCCATGTTAGCGGATGTAGAATAAAATCCAGAGCGGGTTTTGAGGTCCGACAGTCTTTACCATCGGTCTTTGGGCATTTAGTTTCCCTTTCCCATCTCTATCAGAAAGAAACACTACCTGGTGCCCTGTGGCATTTGAACCAGGGAACCTGGGGGAGACCTGGATCAGGGTAGTCCAGGCCCCTGCATAAGGAAGGATACTTTGGGACTACTCCACCCCTTCCCTCCCCCACCCCCAGGGCACTCCAGCTCCAGCCTGCCCCTACCTACCCAGAATTTGGAAGCAGTCTTCCTCCCTGGCAGTGAGACAGGGGCCCTGCCCCACCTCCGCTCTCTCTGAGGGAACAGCCTGGAACTCGATCCTCTGGGAGGTGTCCCCTTGCACCTTAGCATGGCCAGCCTGGCCTGGGGCTTTCTCTGCCTCTGCCTTCTGGTTCTCTTCCAGGGTGTTCGTCCCGCCTTCTGCCTTGGCTGGCCCAGGACCCCGGGAGTCGGGGGTCACAGACACCCCTGTAAAGATGAGTTCTGTTGTGTCGCTCAGGGGCTTCACAGCCGGTGTCTTCTCAGAGCTAAGAAGTGAGACATCTCGTGCTGGTTAGAGGATCTAGATATGACTTGCCATCTAGAGCTAAGACAACATTGTCCCCCTGCCCCCAAATACATCCAGCTCCACCTCATCCACTTCAAAAGCCAACTCTCAACACGTGGAGGAACTATTGACAGGATCTGACTGCCATGATGTGGCTAATCCTACTGGCCGACAGGAAGCTATAAGGCTCCTGATTCATAAAAACTGTTGCCATGTAACTGCCATTAATGTGTCACGATCAGACTGGTGCAAGAAGTGTCGCCATTGTTTCTACAGCTCTCGGGTGTCCAGTTGTGCAGAACTGACTGCATCAGTTTTATGAATGAACTGTTAGTCGCCTTTTCATATTAAATTAAGAAGGGCCTACTCTCTCGAGCTTGCCACAAGTCCCCTTCAGAAGCCTAGAGAAAACAACAACAACAACAACATGCAGCCTGGGTGGCCTTTGGGGACGTCCCCTGTCTGACATTCTATTCTCTGAACAAAAGCAATTTCCTGGGTTCTTCGGGACAGGGTGTTAGAAAGGGGGACCCAGGACCGAAGCGCCTTCCCAGTGAGAGATGTGATAATACCCAGGACTCAAGCCAGGGAGGTTAAGCCCGGAAAAGGAGCCACCCGGCCTCTCCCTCCCCAAGCAGGGACAGTCACCATGAGATGATGGCGGGACAGCTCGGGCTGTGGAGAAAGGCGGGTGAGCCTCTTCTTCCTGCTTCTCGACACTCGGCTGCCTTCTTGCCCGCCTTGGGCTCTCCAGGTCCCTGGTTGTCCGAGGGTGCTTGCTTGGCATCCTGGTTCTGGACGCTGGCCTCGGCTGTGGCAGTGGGCTGGGGCAAGGCTGCGGGAGACCCCACACTGCCTTCAGCAGGCCCCCCACCCCCGTCTCCCTCTCCTGAAGGGCCCTGGCTGCTGGCTGAAGCTGGAGCCGGGTCACCCTTTTTCTCTGGGGCACAGACTTTGGTATCTTTCTTCAGGGAGGGTGGGTCTGGACCTTTTTGGGGGTCTGGAGTGCCAGGGTCTTTCTTCGTGTTAGGGGGCCCCAGGTCTTTCTCTGTGCCAGGGTCTTTCTTTGTGTTAGGAGGACCCAGGTCTTTCTCTGCACCAGGGTCTTTCTTCGTGTTAGGGGGGCCCTGGTCCTTCTCTGTGCCAGGGTCTTTCTTCTTATTAGGGGGGCCCAGGTCTTTCTCTGTGCCAGGGTCTTTCTTCTCCTTAGGGGGGCCCAGGTCTTTCTCTGCGCCAGGGTCTTTTTTCTTGTTAGGGGGGCCCTGGTCCTTCTCTGCGCCAGGGTCTTTCTTTGTGTTAGGGGGGCCCTGATCTTTCTCTATGCCAGGGTCTTTCTTCTCCTTAGGGGGGCCCAGGTCTTTCTCTGCACCAGGGTCTTTCTTCTTGTTAGGGGGGCCCAGGTCTTTCTCTGTGCCAGGGTCTTTTTTCTTGTTAGGGGGGCCCTGGTCTTTCTCTGTGCCAGGGTCTTTCTTCGTGTTAGGGGGGCCCAGGTCTTTCTCTGCGCCAGGGTCTTTCTTCTTGTTAGGGGGGCCTAGGTCTTTCTCTGCGCCAGGGTCTTTCTTCTCCTTAGGGGGGCCCAGGTCTTTCTCTGTGGCTGGGGGACTGGGGTCTTTCTCTGAAGCTGGAGGTCCATCACCTGCAGCACCTTTGGGTGTCTGTTCTGCAAAGGAAGGGGGACATCCATCAGCATCCCCCTGCTTCCTTCGCTTGCCAGGCCGGACAGAGACCTGCTCTGGGTCCCTACCGAGGGACAACTTGTCAATGCCTGTCCCACTGCGTCTCTGGAGCCGCTTGGTAGCAAACTTATCAGGAGCTTAGAACCTCTGCGCCAGCTTCTGCCCCTCTGGATGGGCTTTGCTGGCCTCCCACCACTCTTCAAATTCTAGTGCTGAAGGGAATCCCAACAGCCACTGATGGAGGCTTCCCATCTCCCCCGTCCCTCCAGCAAGGGCTTCATGCGGGCCCTGGAGTCAGCCCAACTCCACCCACAGATTACCCCCATTCCCAAATCCCTCATGCACCGTGCAAAAAAAACCTTGGGCACAGACTTCCCTGTGAGGAACCTGCCCAACCCTGGCTTCAAAAACATCCCTTCTGAAGCTCCTCCCCCCCGTCTCCTGCCCCTGCTTGGCACCTGCTGACAGGCTCTGGATTCCCAGCTCAACTGCTCCGTTTTCTGTAGCCATGAGGTAGGTAGGCGTGTGCTTCTGCTTGTCTAACTCAAGTCTTTCTAGCTGCAGAAAGAGGAGTGAAGTGTTATCAAGTTGTCGGATGCCCGCCTCTTTTCCAGCTTTGGAGAGAGAAGGCCAAGGCCAGGGAACCGGGAGGAGAGATGTACCTGGATAGAGAGGGGCAACCTGGTGGCCGGCAGTCTGCAGCGGCTGCTCAGGCGGAATCCTGGGGTGGTTGTAAGGGATTGGGCCGGGTGGGCAGAGGCGGAGGCAGGGGCGTGGGCAGCGGAGGCGGAGACTAAGAGGAGGATCTTTGACACCAGGGGCCATGGAGTGCGGGTTGCCACCACCTGTCACTCTTGGCCCCCGTTCAGAGGACACGGCATTCTTCCCACGGCCTGACATGGGGTAGAATAGTGTTGGAACCATCAGGAAGAGAAAAGGAGGGGCACCTGGGCCCTGGGGAGCAGGCTGTGGCCAGGCCTTACCAGGCATCCCCTGTGGCCGGGATGAGGGAATGGGCTACAAGAAGAGGGGCCCTTGGCGGGGCTGAAGGGCAAGACTATGGCCGGGCCCAGGCATGGCTTTGCCCGTCTCAATGCCACATCTCTCAGGGTTCCCAGGAGCTTGGGGAGGGCCATTGGGGCCCCAGGGCCCAGCTCTGTGCCCCCTGGTATCCGGATCTACTCAGACCATCTCTGGGTAAGAAATCATGCCAGGGTCACTTGCTTAATTGTCCATAGGTCCAATATTTTTTCCTAGGGAAAACTTCCTTTTCCTGGGTTCTTTGGGGCCATGGAGGCTTGGCTGTGGAAATATGATGGCCACCCTCAAGAAGGGGTTGATAGGAAGTTTCTTCAGGGATGGGGACCCAAGCTCGAGATGTTCAGGCTGAGATGGGGCCGGGAGGAGTATGCTGTGGGGTCCTCTCCCACTGCCCAGAAGCTGTCAGCCCACTTTTCTGGGAGGGGCCCTGAGCACTGGCCAAGGCTCAGTGTTGAAGAGGCTATGGGTAGGTGTCTGGGTCCAGATCCCAACTGAGGTAAACCTTCCAGTGGTTCACCATGCCTAGCCCTGGCCACTGCCCTGTAGCAGAGGGATGGAAGCTGGCAGGAACGCAGTACCTCTCTGAAGTGGGGGAAATGCTGAGTTCTGAAATGGATTGGGCAGCCACTAAGAGACAGACATGAAGTCACCTCCAAAGGAGAGGGGAATCAGGTGCAAAATAGCCCAGGGGGTCTGTGATTTGTGAACACTTCTTTGGCAGGGTAACAAGAAATCCATGGCTTGGGTAGAAGGCAGCCATCAAGGCTTCTTACCATTATTTTGTTTTAATTTTGTTTTGGGTTTTTAGACAGGGTCTTGCTATGTGGCCCAGGGTAGCCTAGAACTCTTGATCCTCCTGCGTCAGCCTCCAAGAGTGCTGAGATGACAGACATGTGTCACTCACATCTTCAGCCTTTTACTGTTTTCCTTGAGCTTTGAGAATGTACTGAATTTCAAAAATGCATGATTTCTTTGAAAGTAGACACAAGCTAACAGGAGCTGGCACTGGAGCATCCCTCCTCATCCTGGCTCAGAGCACCCCCCCTCATCCTGGCTCAGAGCACCCCTCCTCATCCTGGCTCGGTCTCCTCTCTGGACTGGTCCTGTGCACTGCTTCTCTTCTTCAAGGTTCAGCAGACAGCATGCCTCCTCCAGGAAGCAAAAATGACCAGTGTCTGTGTAGCACCTCCCCAGGAGGAGCTGGGCTGGAGATGAACCTGAGCTCACTGTAGAGAAGGAAGGGAATCCCAGCCACCAAGCACCTCCTATTGGCTTTTTCCAACTTCTCGTTACTCATTGTCATTGGTGTAACTGTGGGCCACACTCACCCCATTTTCTAGATGAAGGCAAGGAGGGCTAAAGGAATGAGTAACTTGCCTAACACCCTCAACAGAGAAGAATCTAGAAATAGAGGTTAGTAGAATGCTTCATACACTTCACGATCCCGTGGCATTCAGAAAGTTGGAAAATGTCTCTGGCCCTCACCTGTGATGGGGATACCCAGAAATGGCCCTCTATTTGGCTGTCTCCCTAGCATGGTTTGGCTTGCCTGGAAATGTTGGATATCTCTACCCGCAATGCTCCTTGGTGCCCCCAGGCTACTCCCGTGGTGAGCTCACAACCTAGGCATGGCTACATGGTACTTGTGTGTCATCACGTGCCTGCCATAATAGCCAGTGTTTGGCTTGCAAGGCTGGCTGGGAGTTTGGATTGCTTTACTGGGGTGGTCCTTGATGGTGTCCCCTAGTTACCTCTGTGGCTATCAATATATCACCTGTCAGACACTGAGAGAGGGCCCACTAAGAGCCAGGTCTAATGATGCCAAGAGTTGACTTTTCACCCAGCTCCTAGGACCCACACAAGAGTCCTTAGAGTTTGGTGTTTCATATGTTAAAGATGTAGAGACCGATGCTGGGGGGTAGGGGAGGTAAACAGCTTGTCCCAAAGCCCTGAGAGAGTGGCTTCAGAATGGTCACATTCAAACTCAGAGCCACCTCTAATCACAAGGGGTTTTATTCTAATCTGCTGGTCTTGTTAGGATTCCCACATAAAATCAACTCACCAAGGCCAGCCAGTTGCTTGAGGAGCGCTGTGGGTGGTGGGGGCAGAGGTTGGTGTCAGGGTGTCCTCTTCCATTGCTCCACCTGATCTATGTGGGTTTCGTTTGTTTGTCTTTGTCAACTCGATGCAAGCTGGGGCCATCTTAGAAGAGGAAACTTGGATTGCCTCTGTAAGATTAGCGTATAGGCAAGTCTGTAAGGCCTTTTCCTGATCAGTGATTGATGGGGAAGAGCACAGCCCACCATGGGTGGTGTTGTCCCTGAGCAAGGAGACCTGAGCTGTATAAGCTTGCAGGCGGAGCAAGCCAGTAAGCAGCGGCCTGTCCACGGCCTCAGCTTCAGTTCCTGCCTCCAGGTTCCTGTTTCTGCCCTGCTGTCCCTTCATGGCGGACTGTAAGCTGTGAGCTGAAATAAACTCTTTTCTCCTCAAGTTGCTTCTGGTCGTGGTGTTTTATCACAGCAACAGAAAGCAAGCTAGACAGGGTCTGTCTCTGAACACAATTTAGCTGGGCTGACTAGCCAGGGCCCCCCAGGATGCATGCACCTCTGCCTCTCTAGAGCTACCACACCCGGCTTTTTTTTTTTTTTTTTTTTTTTAAGAAATTGATGCATTCTTATTTTATGTGCATTGGTGTTTTGCCTGTGTGTATGTCTGTGTGAGGGTCCCCTGGAACTGGAGTTACAGACAGTTGTGAGCTGCCATGTGGGTGCTGGGGATTGAACCCGGGTCCTCTGGAAGAGCAGTCAGTGCTCTTAAGCGCTAAGCCATCTCTCCAGCCCCCACACCCAGCTTTTACATGAGTGCTCAGGATGGAACTCAGGTCCTCATGCTTGTGACACCAGTACTATACAGACTGTTCCTACCAGGGGACTGGCTGCCTCCCAGCTGACCCTCTCTGGGGCTTCTGGCAGTGTTTTCCGAAGAGTGGGTCTCCCCAGTCCCAGGAACATCCTGCCTTTAGTCTTGAAGCAGCCCTATGGGTCAGGGTCAGGAGGACTGCAATGGAGTTCTCACCCACCAGCTTTGAGGATGACATGTACCCTAGTGGTCTCCTCCTCTGCTGGAGGACTGCCTGCTCCCAGAAGGAAACTCATGAAGTGTTTGGGGGGCTGGGAGCACCCAGGGTGACTGAGAATTTGTGCCCAGCCTGTGTATGTAAAGTACTTGGCACAGAGCAAAGGGCCCTGGGACTTGGTAATGTGGTGACCACCACAGATAGAGAGTCCAGCTACTTTGCCTGCTTTACCAAAAGTGCCTTCTGCTGGGATAGGAGGCTGGCGTGGTTCTGATCTGTGTGGGATGACCTGGTCTTGTCAGCTGCTCGCAGGCTGTCCCCAGGCTTCTCAGCACTCGTGGAGGCGCAGGGGAGGGGCACAGGGGAACCTCCTCAACCCTGCAAGAAGCTGCCAGAACCCCTGCCCACCTAACTCATGAAGGGGTTTCCCCGCCCCGTGCCAGCTGCGCAGACGCTCTCTGCCTCTGTGGGGCCAAGGCAGGAAGTGGGACGGTGCCAGGCCCAATTAAACCCGCCAGGGGAATTAAGGTCAGCAGGATGCAATTATGCCTGTTGGATTTAACAAGGCCAGAGGGAAGGTTTCTCTAGCCAGAGTTCACGGCTCCTTAGGCCACTTGCCCTGGGCAGCTCTGCCTTCCAGGAGCGCCGGGCTCCCGGGTCCTGCCCGTCTCCAGGCAATCTCCTTGGGAATGCAGGGGTTAACTCCACCCAGCACTGCTTCTTGGCTCCCCAAGGAAATCAATCTGTCCAAAAGGCTTTACAAGGACCTGCTTGAGGAGACGCTCCCCGCCTGACCCTTCCCCGCTCCTCTGTGATGGAAAATCCAGGCAGTTGAGCAATGGCCTTTCCCTTGCGGCGGCGGCGGCCACTCCAGCCTTCGCCGCCGGGGCTGTCATCAGCACGTTTTTTTCCTTGCCCTCTCCCACTCGGAGCCTTGTCCTTCCCGGCCAGTCCTGTGAGAAAGCTCTGTCCCTGCCATAGACCCCGTCCTTCCTGCTGAGGTTGGTGAAGGAGAGACATCAGCGGGCATTCTGAGTGTCTCTTGCTCGTGTGGATTTTGTGGCTCTTTTCAATGACCCGTTGTAGCTGTGACTGGATGAATAAATAAGTGAAAACATGTCAGCATGGGCACCAACAGAGCATGGTAAGGGTGATGCTGAGCTCTGAAACACACAGAAAGCAAAGTCGTGAGGACGGGTGGTCAGGGAGAGATCTCAGCAGAAGGCATAAGCCCCACTGCTCCAACCATTCTCAACGCCTAAGCTCCTGGAATTTGTTTGGGGTGGGGTGCCAGGAATTGGGCATTTTGAGCAGTGCTTCGGATTCTTTGTATACAAACCCAAGTTGCAAGATTGCCATGCCAGAGACCCACTTACTAGAAAGCACCGCCAGAGGCCCAGAGAGGGCCAGCTGTGAGGCAGGCTGTCTCCGGGTAAGTCACATTGGGATAGCCAGAGGACAGTTCTGAGGACACATCCTTGTCCTGTGAGGTCATGCTTCTTAGCCCAGATGCACACAGAAGCACCTTGGGGCTTCCATATCCTATGATGTCCCAGCTCCTCGAACTCAGCCAATAAGATCAGAGGAAGTGGGTATCTCCCCAGGAG